CACCTTTCAAAAGCCCTTCCTATGAGCACGTAGATGTTTGAGGAGGCATCTAAATCCAAGCCATAACACCATCCTCCTGTGTTTAGGAGGAGAGATGCAGAAAACAGCCTCATGAGCCTTTCCATGATTTGTGGAAGAAGTCAGGTGATTAGATACCCACTTTGTAGACACTTACAAAGAATGAATCAAGAGAAAATGCAAATGTGAAAATAATTGTATTTTAAACCAGTGTGGGTGTTTTAACATCTGGAAAGAGAGGCATGGCCCACACGAAACACTGAGGGGTGGAACGGGAGCAACATTTCCTAAACAGATGAAGAAGGTGGCCCTCAAGCACCTGTGGGAAGAGGTTGTTCATATGAACAAATATTTATTTTGTTCTGCAAGTTGATATTTTGATAGGCTCTTCTTGACTGGCGATAGAACTGGTTCTGTTTTGTTTGTTTTGCTTTTGATTTTTGTGGCGCTGGCCTTGTGCATGTTTGGCAAGTGCTCTACCACTGAGCTACACCCCCCCCCTCCATTTTTAGCTCTAGCTGTCTTTTGTAGAGTGGGAATTATTCTGGAAGGCCGTTGATGAAAGGCTGGTGCTCACTTCTTCAGAAGGCTTTGCAGAGGAAACACAGTTTGGGGTTTCTAGTTGTAATTGTGATGAAGTGTGACTTCTGGTGACCATGTTCTCCAAAGGCAGAACACCTAGAGACAAAGCTTCTGATCTGGCTTCTTCAGGAGAGAGCAGCCACCTCATAATGGGAATTCTGCAGATGGGTTACGTGGCTCTCATGGAACGGAGAGAGGTGCTGTGTAGGACATTCTCCGAGTAAAGGAACAAGGGTAAGACCTGAGCTCTGCCCGCCTCGGATGCCGTACAAGACTCCAGAGCTTGCTCACCCAGTTCCAGTCCTGCATCTTGCACTGACTGGCTGGTCTTGGTGAGAATGGGAATAGTCTGTATTTTAGGGCTGTGACGGGAATTACACGCTCGGGATGTGTCTGGGCTACGGTACGCGCGGTGAGCGTTTGCTCTCGTGGGAGTTTCTCCGTGCTTCTCATCCCCATTCCCACCTTTAGTCCCATTTCTGTTGTTTTCTTGCGAGGCACAGTTGTGCCCAGCTCTTTTGTTCCTTCGGAGCATGGCTGTAGGGCTGCCCACTGCCTTATAGATTGGCATCCGCACAGGGCTGAGTAGGTGTCCAGGTCCCAGTTTTCATTATTCTCATGTTTTCCCTTTTCATCTCAGACTTGAGCTTGTCAATACCCGCTGTGCCCTTGAACTTAGAAGGAGGATATTAAACAAGGCGAACTTGTTCCCTAAAGCATTTCTTCCCTTTCCTCCCGGCCCAGCTTTTAACTGAGATGAAGCGGTACTTCTGCCTCCGTCACTGCAGTAAATGAGAATCATTTACCTTCCTGGCGGGTTGGCTTACTCACTCGTATCCGCCTCACCTGTGGTACCCAGTGCCATTTCTACCCTCGATTCCAGTCCTGTTTGCCCTCTCTTCCGTGATTTGTTGGAAGACAAGTAATTATACAGCTTTAGGAATTTGATAGGAACGTGCTCTTGAGAAGACTCTAAAGTTTCCTCCGAAGTCATTTCCTCTTTTCACCCTCATGTTTTGGGCAGAATAGGTAACTAACTGAAACGCACTGACCTGTCTCATTGGTTGGACTGAGCTGTGATTCAAAGTTCCTTCAATTTCAAGGGCAAATAGAACTTTGAGAACCGCTGATGCAGAGACCAAGTTCTCAAGAGATTGGAAACTGCAAAACAGTTTACGTTCCAGGGTGATGCTCACAAGTATATATGCACATACATTTTATCTTTTTTTAGTACAGAGACTTCTTTTTAACAGTGAATGATTCATTTCAGTTATGTTTTATTTTCTTTTATGGTTACTCACCTTTCATTAATCTGACTTCAGTAGAAATACCATATTTATGTATGAGACTTCCTTTCTTCTCTGAATATTTTTTGTTGTGCTGTTAATATTCTGGGCATTGAAGAGATTGTGGTTGTAAAACAGTAACTCATTCCCAAAAGCATAAAAAGTATAAAGTATTTTTGATTAGATTTTCCCTCCATCGCACGGACTCCCCATTTTCTGTCTGCCTTGCTACTTTCTGAACAGACTTCCACTATGTTGATATTTTGCATTTCCTCCAAGATTTATTTAATGCATATATTAAATATATTGTTTCCCCTTTTTAAGTAAATCACAGCATCCTTTATATGCCTCGCCTTTTGTTATTCCCCAATACGTCTTGGAGATCTTCAACTATAAGTAAATAAAGACATTTGTCATTCTTTTTGTAGGTACAGAATAGTCCAGTATTTTAAATACATACCTTACTTTATTTAAGCACGTTCCCATAGATGGAGATATTGGCTTCCTGATTGATTCTGAGATGAGGTTTCTGAGTAAGTGTGCACAAGTAGAATCTATACTGATATGATACAGTTTGAACAGAGACAAAGACTGAGTATTCTATAGTGTTGTTGTATAAGGATTTTTTTCTATAAAATGTAAGTAAAAAGATTGCATTGGTCAGGCATCAAGCTTTGCATATATACCTTTTGGTAGTCCTAAAAGAACTACCAAAGTTGAAGGAACAGCACTATGTGCAGTTTTAGAAATTACTTTTAAGGTATTGGGGCTCAAATTTAGAGAATAATGAGTTTTCTTTGAGAGATTATCCTGAAGCTAGCCAGAGATGTTTAGATTCTGAAGGTTATAAGAGGAGATAAAGACTTTGTATAAAGATAAAAACTTTCCTGAGTGATAACCCATTTTTTCATCCATCCTTATTTAACAGATGCCTTTGAAAGCTAGATTTGGGGTGGGAGGAAGACTAGACTATAGCTCCCCCCACCTCAGTACCAGGGATTGAATTTAGGACCTTGTGCTTGCCAAGCAGGCACAGCACTGCTGAGATACATCCCTGGCCGGACTCTAACTTTCTTAAGGAAAGGTGGCTGACACCTCTCAGCTCGTAAATCCTGTTTAGTGCAATGGAAAGCATGATCAAGGAATTTTACAGTGTGGTGAAGACAGCCATAGTGACATACTAATGTATACATTATACAGAAGTGTATATAGTGACGCAGTAATGTGATGAGATGTTTGAACCAGCAGGGCAGTGAAAGATGAAAGTCATAATGTAGTAAGGAGCGTTAAGCTGTAATGTTTATGCTCCCTTTTGAAGAACGGTTCTTAATGACCTTGAAAATCTTATTTGTAGCTAAATATAAATCTGAAAGTATAAATGCTTTTGGTGGTTGAATTTAATCTGCTTGCAAAATTGGTAAGTAGCGAAGAAACAAAGACTGTTGTTAGGAGTCTGAGGAGAAGAGAAATGACCTAATGTGAGGGGAAACATTCTCATGGCCCTTTTGTTGGACCCTCAGTGAATTGTGAATGCATTAGAATGGCCAAAGTTACTTGAGGCTACTAAAATTTCTTTACTTTTTTCTGTTTTGAACATAATGATTGTTGCTTATTTGATGATTCCTTTGGCAATTAGGTTAAAAATTGATTGAATTATACAATACCAGCCAGACATGGTTTCCATTCATTCACCTTTTTTGAAAAATAGGCTCTAGAAACAGTCTTTAATTCCTTCAACTTACACAGCCTTCAAATCATAGAATGAAACATGTGGAAAGTTGGGATTGTTAGCCCTGACAGTTCATTTCTTTGAGAACCAATGAAAAATGCCAAGTGACTTACGATGTAAGCTATGTATGTAAAAATAGCTGCTGTCAGTGTGTTGCAGGCACTTTACAGTCACTGATGCACAGGATTGTCTTGACACCAAATGAGGAGCCTTCATGAAATAATCTGTTCAGTTCTCGGGATAACTGCTGTGTGGTGAGAAGAAGGTGGGGGACGCGGACCCACCATTGGAGTTAGATCCGTTTTGGTTTTGGTTGTTGGTCTTTAGCTTACTTAAGTTAGGTTTTCTGGAGGAGGATGAGAATCCTACTGAGCCCTCATCAGGCATCTCGTAATGACGTGGCTGTCGATGGGGTTTTCTGTGAGGTTTTCATATTGGTTCTCAGTGAAGAAACTAAAGGACACCAGATTTACTGTCGTCAGTGCCCAAGAGTCACTGTTAATAGAGCTCTTACCTTGGGATTCTCAGTTTAAGGGTTCTTCTCTCAAGGGGTTTTTCCTAAGAACTACTGATTTAGTATAGACTTTCTTCTTGGAATTGGTTGGGCTGGGTTCCAAATTTGTTCTTCTCATAACCAGTGCTCCTTGAAACTTTCGCTGTTTGTCGCGTGCAGATCTCCAGTCATTTTCAGAGTTGCTCAGCTGCGGTGCTGGTCCATCGTGCAGCCTGGTTGTGTTTGTGGAACAGGATGTGATGGAGTAGGCAGATCCAAGTAAAAAGGCATTACTATAGAAGCAACTTTCATGTGACAACTGGGCCGGACCACAGAGTTCAGAATGAGCAACTCCATCAAGCTGATAAGTCACCAAGTTCCCTGGAGAAACTGCTCATCTCTGCTCTGTGGTACCATGTGTAGTAGTTGCTTTTAGCTGCAGAGTTTGACTTGGAGTTAAAAGTGTCTCTTTGCTCGGAGTTGGATGGAGCGTTCACGGTGGCAAACACACAAACCCATGACCCCCAGCCGGAGAGCCAACACATTGCTCAGCTTCACAGGTAACTCTTCAGAAGGACAGACACGTGGTCCCTCGTCCAGCATCTCTGGCTGCAGCTTCATCTTCCTAGAGTCCTTCCTCCTTCCTCATTTTCAGATGGCGCTATCTCTTTTTTTTCTAAACTCCCATTTTATTTAAAACTTCTCATATTCTTACTGTTTTATAATTCAAGTATTTGTATCTGTAGGAGGCTACAGACTCCCTAGTAATGCCTTCCATATTGTAGCTCTCCTTCTGTAAGAATTAAAAGAAACGTCTCAGCCAACGCTGTATTATTTTTGTTTCCTTCTGTTTTTTTGTTGGTAACTGTTGTCTTGGTTTCTTCTAATGCAGGTCTGCAGACTCCTGTTCCAGAGGTCATTGTTGATGTGGAATCCATGGACGTCTTCCCAGTGGGCTGGTGTGAAGCAAATGCTTACCCCTTGACTACACCGCACAAAACAGTCTGTAAGTGTTACCAGCGAGGTAGTGGGGAACACCTGTGATCTTGGCAAACAAGTGGACAGTTTTATTTTAAAAGAATAGAAATATAAAGGACAAATGTCTTAGATGTCCCAAAGAGCACCAATATTTTTGGTGTCTCAGTTGTCCTTTAATAATCTGCTTGAGATGAATGTTTGGCTGAATTTCACAGGTAGACACAGTAAGTTGCAACGAGGCAACTGAAGGTCACAGAGAAATGCAGAAGGAAAAAAAGACCAGAAATTCCCTCTCCAGTTTTGCACGTACCCATTATTTTGCTTGGAAATTTTTCAATTAGATACCATAGTTTTATATTATCATTTCTTAGAAAGAGGTAACCTTTGTCGTGCATTTTCCTCTTAAAGCATCATACTTGGTTCTAGTAAATTACATATTTCCAAATACAGTGCTGAACATACTCGTAACACATAATCAGTGGGATTTCAACTGTACTTTAGAAAGTATATTCACTCATAGCCTTTTGACCGCGGAAACCAAATAAAACCAACATTAATACTTTCACAGTCCAGCAGTGCGCACACCCACTCTCTGCATGTTTAGACTCCTGCAGCAGTGGCTTTAGCATATGTTGCTGTAGGTCGTTGCCATCAAATGGTGCTGCTTACGAATCATCAGGCCCAAGAAATCTTTGCATTTATTATTCTACACTAATGTGTAGTAAAGATATCACTTAAAAGTTTGAGTCCTTTAAAGATAGTGGGTTTCAGCTTTGTAGTGAAGGGATCATACCCCTAATATTTTCTTTGTGGAATTTCTGTGCCAGCTGTACTACCGCCCCGTTCTGCAGTAGGCTTCTGTGCATTCTCAAGACACAGATGGAATCAAAATCCCGTCACAGCATTGGCATCGCATTTCCTGATGGCTGCAGATTTTGAAGGTCCCTCTACTCAGTGTTCACTGAGGGCAGTGTCTGGGTCATTACTCTCACACTTGACTATTGGCTGCACTGGCTGAGCAGGTTAAGAAATTACTCATTTAATTTTTTTTTAAAGACAGGGTCTCACTATGTAGTTGAGACTGACCTGGAAATCACTATGTAGCCCAGGCTGGTCTCAAACTCACAGGATCCTCCTGCCTCAGCCTCCTGAGTGCTGGGATTACAGGCGTGTGCCACCACATCCAGCTAAAATATTACTCATTTAAATGGGGACAGAGGAGGATGTCCTCAAGGTTAGAATAATTGTTCTACACTCACATTTTTAGAAACACTTTAAAGTGAAGGGGAGATGTGACTCCAACTGGACTGACTCCTTGGTACCTTTCCTGGGTGCTGTCACAGGACTGTGGCTCAATTCCCTTGGATGGGACCTAGAGTCCTCTGTCCCTTCTTTCCTTCTTCACATGAATATGGGAGGCTGCATGTTTTCTGTCCTGCTGGAGCAAAGCCATGTGTCGCAGAGGCGAACATGGTCCTGTTTCCTCCTGATTCTGCACTTCCCTTCCGGGCCTGTTGTGCTTGGCTCCTCACCGAGGTACCTTACAGTCCGGCCTCTCCACCCTGTGTGTCGGACCGAGTTAGGCTGGTTCTTCTTCCCCACTTTCCACCCTGGAGATCATAAAAGTTTACAGGTTTCATAATAACAACGGGAACTGGATACCAAATGGACTCAGGAACGGGTGGAATTTTATTGAGTATTTCTCTTATTGATTCGTGCACACTCCTTTCTTGCCCATACATTTTGTTTTAAGGAGATAAACACTAATTCTCGCCTGCCAGATGCTAACAGCTTTAGAAGTTTTGGTGGAATTAATTTATGTGCTTACATTGGAAGAAAGTAGATTATATGAGTCTGCATGAATTGATTTCGAAAGCTCTGGTCTCTTTGTTAAGGTGATGCTAATCAATTAGAACTGGTTTGTGTTATTATTCGGTCAGTCCTGTCTGACAGCTCCCAGCTATCCTCCCAGGAATTCAGTATTTTAAATGGAAGCTTCAGGATAATATGGGGATGGATGATTACGGTAGCACTGTTTGCCTTACCACAATTTCTGTGGAGAAAATTACTCTAGACTGTCATGTTTACAACTTATGTCAATGTGCATTTATGTGAGGTACAATATATGTTCTCCTTTTCTTTCTTAGTAAAAGCACATTTTAAAATAAAGTAGGACTCTAGTGATAAAATTAAAAGTACTAAGTTCTGTTAGGTTCTTATGTCTGATGAATCTTTATCTGTTTTCTGTTAGAAGAAATTGATGTGTGATATAGTTTGACTGAAATAACTTTTCAGTTTTTAAATTGTTAGCCTAAAATTGGCATTTAACAAAATGCTAAGCTAGATTTAAGCTGCATTTACCAGATGGTGGTATGTGACTGTAATCCCAGCACTCTGGGAGGCAGTGGCAGGAGGATCGCAGGTTCAAGCCCAGCCTGGGCAGCTTAGTGACTTAGAGAGGCCCTGTCTCAAAATAAAAACATGAAAGTGTCTGGGGATATAGCTCGGAACAGATGTCCTGGGTTCCATCCCCACCACCACCACCACCAACAAAAAAAGTGCCCGGCCTACTAACAGTATGTGTCCCCCTCCCTTTTTTTTTTTGCCTATTTTACAGCACAAAAGAAGAAAAAGATTGCAGTTGTACAGCCAGAAAAACAGTATGTTGCTTTTCTTTCTTTCAAACTGCATGATAAACTATAACATGTCATCTAGTGTTTTGTCGGGGTTAGTGAACAAATACCACAGTAGTGTAGGTGACTGGAAAGTGTCACTATGTTACTTGGTGCGCTCACTCTGTGCAGAAACCCTGTGCCTGCTCCTATATCAATCGGGAGCAGTCCAGATGGTCGTTTCCCACGTTGTTTCATCTTGGATTTGAAGGATACCCAGCTCGCTCTGCCGGAGGCAGCGCTCTGTGCAGGGGGTCTTGGTGCCCCCC